AGAGATAGCGCATCAGTTGTTTTAATGAAGACCAAGTATACAGCAGGTTAGGAGCCTACATGGTGAAGCTGCAAGAACAGAAAGCTGAGGGATCTGGTCTGCAAAAGGAGAAGGAACATGCTGACAACTACAAAAGCAAAGACCCTGGAGAGAGAGATGTGTGTCATGAGTACTTACTTGCGTGAAGGCAATATATCCACAACTTTGCAGCAAGCCAGGGTCAGACATTTTGTGCAAAACTTCCCTAGCGTGTTCCTAGAGATTTGGCAAGTTAATGAACTGCGATAAGAACTACAGCCAGTCCAGCTATCTTGTCTTATTTCTCCCAGCTTCGGCCATCTGCCCATCCTTGCCCACGCAAGTGTTTTTGTTGTGCACTGTGTGAGATCGTGTGCTGAAAGAAAGGGCATTTCATCTTCCTCATAAATTATCGGTTAGCTCTTGGGCAGTTTTAGAATGACTGCCTTAAAGTGTCATAATGATTGAGGTTTCCTTCGTATGTCTCCATAAGTGGATGGCCATAATCACTGTAATGATGGCAGCGTGGTGATGCTGGTCATAGCATGCCAGCATCAAGGGTGAATAGCCTTTGCTTCGTGTTTTCCCCGAGGGAGGCACTGTGGAAAGTGCAGTACTGCTCTCTCCTTGTGATCCACCAGTTTACTGCCAGCTGAGCAGTGTCAGTATAGTGCATGAGCTGAATTGCTGCATTGGGTGTTGCTGTGAATTTAGGGTAGAAAATGCACCAAATGGAGGCAGCCCTCTCTCATTACTTTTGTATTTGTTGCCAAATAAATGAGCTTAGAATGGGTGATTGTAAGTGTCATCACTACTATAGTTCTGCCTCCAAAGTTGATCATGGTGTGTTTTCAGTGCGAGATGTTACGGTCAGTCATTTTCTTTCAGACTTGGTTCACAGCCCCTGGCAGCTCCTGAGCTGTGAGCTACGTTGCTGCACAGGCATCCCACCAGAGCGCTGATTACGCTGTTTCCTTCCTCTCCTGATTTAGTTGGGGATGCACTGAGAAGCGTTGTATATTCTAGCCGGTGAGCTAGAAATGCACTCGTCTGCTTGTGCCTGTTCTGGACAAAATTTGTTTGGCAAGGCAGTCTGGTAAAGGGCAGTTTTGACCTTACCTGTCCAATTGTGGCTTGCCCTCATCAATGCACACTTTGGGAGAGGTCTTGTAAGTGTTCCCTAAAGGGAAAAGTTCTAAGAGCTTACTGAAATGTAGTTGGTACCTTGAATCTGCTGATACGAACTTTTAAGTTTAGTCTTACTCTTATTAATACCTTTGGGGTTCAGTAGAGCACTGGGAACGAGCAGAAAGAGGACAGGAAAGCACCATGCTGTTTCCAGGTGTCTGTCATGCAGGTTCCTTTCCTGCTTGCTTGGGTATTTCTAGTTAGCCCAGTTATTCAAGGGCTGGGATCAAAGGCCTCAAACTTGTAACTGGATTCATGCAAGTTTTGTGTAAAAGCTTAGAGGCAGTGAAAGCTAGAGGATCTGCTTTTATTCATGAATAGCATTAAGCATGTTAGACAAGCATATGCTTAAGAATGCCAGTTATGGTATGGGAAAAACAGCAAATGAAGCTTTGATAAAGATACAGTGTTAGGAAATCTGCTTGCTGTCTCTCTTTTTTCCTTCCCCTCTTCAAACGTTTTGCAAATAGTTTTCAGACAACTGTTTGATCTTAAATTTGTATGTCAGCAAAGGCTGTGTAGTTCTCTCAGGAATTAACAAATGGTAGAACAGGGTGAACAGGAGTGTGCTGTGGGCTGCTTTTAAAAATCCTCCCTTGCTTGAGCCTCAGAACTGCTGGGGAAATTTCTTGCTAAAAAGTTTATCTTTAAAAGACCTGGAGCTATTTCAGGCTCATTGTTTCTTTTCAGATTGGCTATTTAGATGCATCTGTTTGATGTCAGCTGTTAAGTTTTATCCAAACAAATATTTCTGGGGACGCTGGGTGGGTTGAAATTTTGAGTTTCTTCTGTTCTGGAAGGCAATCTGCCCTTGACACAGCACTGTGAAAATGTTATGGTAATCGATAGAGTGTTAAAAATACCTCTAGTGCTCAGGGTGGGCTCTTCCTATTTTCTGAGTGTTTTGGAGCTTTTTGGATTGTTTTGTGGTATGGGATGATGTGGAAACCTCAAAGTCATATTCAAGGAAAAGTGTGCAGTCTCTTGGCATGTTAAAAGTGATGACACCATCTGAATCAATTTATAATTGCCTGAGCATTTACCTGCTTCCTTTCCATGTGCAAAAGAACTTGCACTGTCACCTTAATCTCCTGTTGTGAAATCCTTCGCTGGAGAGGAGCGACTGATGATGGGCTTGGAGTGCCGACTGCTGCTTGGCAGGGATTAGTGCTGGCTGCATTGAGTGAGGGGCCTGCTGGATGTAAGGCTGAAAGAGATTGTAGCCTTTTATTATTGTATTTGTAAACACTGCTAAATGGCAAGAGAAAGTGCCTGCCCCCACCAGTTACTCTGTCAAATGTTTTCTTCGGCTTTCATGCAGATGGCTGTGCACCAGATGCTTGTGGACGCTTGCAGTGATCTTGCGTACCCACCAAATGGGAGATTCTGTGCTGCTCTCCAAAGGAGGCTGCTGTTCCTTAGTGGGGTTTCTCTTCCAAAGGAGATGAGATCTCTGATGTGTGTGTGTGCACGTTCACATATGGAAGAGTTATCTCCATTTATTACTGTTCTTGGAGTCACTTTAGAGCTCGGTGGCCAGCTTTAACAAAAATACTCGAGGAGAATGGATGATTAGAAAAAGTCCCCAGATTTGAAAGAAGCTATCAGTGTATAGAGAAGAGACTTACAGAAACCCTCATAGTGAGGGAAGAAGGGAATGGATATGGCAAAAACCTGGCATTTGCATTTGTTCCATTTTGATTCTCTAATGTCTAATATGGAATGAGCTCATGCTGCAGGCAGTATAATGATTCTATATGTGTCTGACTTCAGCTTAAAACTTGTACAGCCACATCCTTTGCCTTAGGTTAGAAGTACAAAATTTATCCTAGCTTCAGAAATAGAGGCTAAGCTGATATTCTCTTTAGCCACCAAGAAGAGTGGTTGCTCACTGACTTTTCCAAGTTCCTGGACTGACTTTTGAAAGTGCAGAAAAACTCCAGCTCTCCCTCTGTGTACGCAGCGATGCACGAGACTTGAGGTGGCAGGTCCCCAGAAGTATGCAGCTTAATGATTGTCGGAAAAACTGGCTTTTCATGTGAATGGTTACTTAGAAATCTCACTTGCGAAGCCCAGTTCTTGCGGTGCCTTCTGGTCCTCCAAGTAGGAATGCTTGAGAGCCAGCATTGCCTTGGCTGCTAGGTACAAAGTTAGTATGATGTGAAAATCGCACCAGTAATAGATGAGTCAGAAACTGCGACCCTGATGGCGTGGTCAGCGCTAATTACAAAATGATTGTGTCTCTTTAAAATCCTTGCCTGTGCCATTAGTTCTGCTCAAACAACTCTTGACATTTTAATTTGATCCAGAAACGGCTGTTGTTAGTTCATCCATCTTGCTCAGCCAGGGTAGACTAGATCCTTCTTTCTAGCAAACTGTATTTCTTGAGGTTTTTTTTTTTTTTATGGATTTCTTTTGCTACTGAGCAGTATTTCAATGGAAACTATAAGAATATCTTCACTGCATGTAAAAGAAGTCTCTTTATAGCCTCAAAACCTCCTCCCTGTAAAGTTTTGTAAGCTCACTGTCTCATTCATATCTTAAATTGATGTTGGAAATCTTGGGATTGGTGGTTCAGACTGGGCCTCGTGGGCTGTTAATCTACAGACCTCTGAAAGGTGATTCAGAAGATATGTAAAAATAAAACAGTTGAAGCCCTCTGTCAGTAAAGGAATTATCTTTAGTGGAGTTTCTAGTTAGTGACAGTTTGTAGTCTGATTTTGGGCTTATGTATCTTAGCTAGTATAACTGAGTGTTCTTGTTACACAGACTTTTAAAATAATTGATTTTAAAGCTGTAAGTACCTTGGCCATGTTTTTGCACATTGAGATTGTGCAGAATGCTGGTCCTGAGATTGATGCATTTGAAGCCTTGAAATGGATTTGGAGCACATTATTTTCTATATGTTTTGCGCCCTTCCCCCCACCCTTTCCCTGGCATTATGTGTTTTTTACGCAATGTGGCCTTACTGGCTTTATTGTCTTCAAACAGAGAGGATGCAGAGTTAATTATTCGCTTTTCCTAGGAAATGGAGACCTGTATGTATCTGAAGCTTGTTTAAACATTGAAATCCACATTGCTAAAATTCCCTTGCCCAACAGTTTTCAGCATGAGCTCCTGCAATGGCATAGAGTTAAAATTTGCATAGGAACTGTAGTGTCAGCAGTTAAATTCCTAATGAGAACCAGGCAGCCTAAATCCACCTTGGGAAACAATGGGGGTTGAAGGAGGAATTTTGGTTAAAATTCTGGGCTTTGTCAGGGGATCTAAATTTAATTAAAAATAATCTCCCCTTGACACGATCTCTGCACAACAGCCTTCCTCCTGCCCCCGCTCCTTACCTAAAGGCTGCCTACCTAGGAGAGGGGCTACTTTTGAGCAGTGGGTTGGTGTTCGGTGTGGGTTTTTTGTTTGTTTTTTTTTGTTTTTTGTTTCTGTGTGCTTTTTTCATATTTAAAACATCCTCCATATGTGCTGTCCCCTCTATCTCTCAACTGAAGCAAGTAGAATTAATTTGTTTGAAATGGCCAAATTCAGTTAAAACTAAGGCTTAGAAATGGTTTAATTTTGTAGCCACTTTGCTAGATCTCCTGTGTGTAGCGTGGTTTCTGGCATTCTTCAAAAGAGTACGTGTTTCTGGGGCAAGTCAAGCCCTGTGAGCATGCCGTCTTGTGTTGCAGCGCGCTCTCGTTCTCCTGCTCTTCCCTTTGTGCATATGGACTCTGTGCTGTGTTAATGGCCTCTGTAGCCCAAGCAGATGCTGTCATTGGATATGAGTAGTTCATGTTTCTTGGAAGAATGGACTGAAGTAGTCTCTTTCTACCATTCTTGTGCTCCATCTCAGGGGAAGCCTCAGCCAGGAGTTTCTCTAGTGCTCCATGTGTGCCCTGGCTGAAGTCTAGGGTTTAAACCTTCCGTGGGTCAGGCACAGTGTCCCTTGGGTGGTTTGGCCATGTGCTCCTTTGCCACCTGTATCTGTAGCCTCTCTCCAGGAGCTATGGTGAGATGAAGGTATCTCCTGTTCCAAGGAAGTCACATGCTGTTCTTAAAGCGATGCTGACAGAGTCTGGTTTGTTTCTCCTCCCCTAACCTGTTGGGTCTGCTCGCTCTCCATGGTGGGCCGGGCGGGGGGCAGCAATATACGCTGTACTTAGGCAGCTCATCTGAGTATGTACCAGTGGTCTTGAGCCAGCATGAGTACTGCAGACAGGACTGTGGATCCACCTTCTTGATTCACATAACACTTTTTCCAGTGCCTCATGATTAGCAATGGTGTCTCATCCCAGCCAGAGGTACCAAAGCCAAACGTTCCCTTGCCTGTCTTCCAGGCAATGTCCAACAGGAAAGGAAAACTGAGAAAGGAAAAGGAAAGGAAAGGAAAGTAAAATTGAGAACTGGACTTTCAGCAACTAAACTGAAGTCAGGCTTCACTTTTTTTTTTTTTTTTCCCCTTCAGGAAGGGCAGAGATGCACAGCAAATACTTTGCTTTGGCAGAAAGGACTGAGGAGAAACATTAGCACCTATTTCCTATCTAGAGTACTGAGTTTTGGCAGGACATCTAGTGTTGTTCTTCCCCTCACCCAAACTGCAGTTAAGCCCACCCCAGCTAATATCTGTGATTGCTTCGGGCTCCGTGACTTGAGTATACTGAAATTGGTCTAACCGAGAAACCGCTTGTGTGTATTTGGATGACTATGTCAGTTGCTGTCTGCACTGTTGCAGCTGTACTGTTATTGGTATGTGAATTATATCAAAGCGGGACTGGATGCCTATTTCTTCTGCTGGAAGGTCACAGTTAGTCACTGAGGAATCAAATGACACTGTAAAAAGCAACTAGCACTTGTGTAGGGCCAAGAGCCATGGGATTTTCAGAGACAGCTGATACTCTCTTACTTTGCTCCTGCTGAGAACTCCCACCGGCTGCAGCCGGTGTAAGTGCTGCAAACCACTTTGCCTTGGAGGTAAGGGCAGGAGCTTTGCATGTGGGATTGGTGTAGGAGTAGTGTTGGCTGGTACTTTCCTGCAGATGTAATGGTGACTGTAGAAGACTGAAGGTAAATTTCAACATTACCTGTTGCTAAACAGCAGCTCTCTTGTACTTTTAATGTGCAACTCGGCTTGCTTTTCCCTGCCCCCTCCCTCAGCAAATTATCTCATACGTAGTCAGCTTAAATTTGAGAAACTTGAAGAAAAGTTAACTGTAACTTTAAGAAACCCGGGAGATGAGAAGGCCTAGTGTTAAATGAAACTGGAAATGATCTTAATGAAATAATGAGATCTTTTCTCTTTCAGTTTAGAGTTCCTGTACCTTGGAGGGAATTTCATTACTTCAATTCCACCTGAATTAGCAAACCTGCCATCTCTAAGCTATCTAGTTTTGTGTGACAACAAGATCCAGAGCATTCCACCTCAGTTGGCGCAGTGAGTATTTACTCTTTGTTCTCCATGTGTGAGTAAAAGCGACTGGGAGGATCTGTTTGTCCTTCAATTTTTTTTAATCTTTCTAGACTTGAACAGCAATATCCTTAGCGTGGTGTACTGCAGGCAGACCATGAATATATAATATGAAAACCTCAATCAAAAGGTTGTGGAGAAAAAAAATCAATAAGTGTCCACTTTAAGGTGATTTAATAGGCTTCTACAGGAAATCCTGAGAAGCACCTGGGCAGCTCGGGAAAACATGAACTGCCATGCTGCTGTGTTCTTGGTGAGGAATGCTTGATCTGTATTGTCTTTTACCCAAAGCTCTGTGTGTGTGTGTGTGTGTGTGTGTGTGTTGTACCATCCCTTGTTTTCCCTTGGCATTTCTTGTTCTAGGATCTCGGAATGTTTTAACATTCGTTAAAATCCTACAGCACAGCTCTAGAGGATAAGTTACTGCTCTATCTGTTACATAATGGGTAAAAGAGGACACTTAAACACTGTTTGGGTAGCCTAAGATGGGAGGTGAAGAATTCAATTTGTAATTGTAACCCCAAAAGCAATTGGATGGCAGCATAAATTTTTTTTTAGTTAGAATTTGGTGACGTAGTAGGGTTATTCGTGATGGATAATCTTTAATGACTCCAGTTGCCTTGTAGCTTACATTGGTTTGAGACCGTAGCGTCCTTGGACACTCTGCTGGAGCATTGCTTTGCACTTCCTGAGAGAGGAGAATGCCTCCTCCAAAAGCCAAGAAACTGCTTGTCATCCATGCAGATGCTAACCTGGACTGACCTTGCTTAGTTTTTGAGATCTGATAGCACCACAGCACAAGGTGATGCAGCTGCAGGCAGTGAAAACATGGGGTTTTCCAGAGTTGGCTGCCTACCAACATTCATCTTTAATGCATGAGTGAAAGCAGGTGACTTAATCAGAGTATTGTATGGAACAGTTTTTGTTGCATGCACTGGTACAAGGAAACATTATCTCCCTCTAAAAGCACTGTTTGTATACTGAAAACAACAAAATCCATGCTACTTTTTTTCCAGGGGGAGGGAGAGCAAGAGGAATAACAGCATATTTCAAACTGTATTTCTTTAGCAGGCATTCAGGACCTGAGCCAAGTTTTCTAGGGCATTGAGTGTGCTGAAGTAATAGCAGCTCTTTTAGCACGCTTTTATGCTTTAAAAGGAGGAAAAAGCAAAGGAAAGAAATAGGTGGGAGGGGGGAGAGAGTAATCAGATCTGTGTGTAGTGCAATTGTGGAATGATTTTGCTTGCACCTCTTGACTGGGTTTCCATCTCCATCTTCAGGCTGCATTCCCTGCGCTCCCTTAGCCTGCACAATAACCTGTTGACTTACCTCCCTCGAGAGATCCTCAACCTGGTTCACCTGGAAGAGCTGAGCTTGCGTGGGAACCCACTTGTGGTTCGGTTTGTCCGTGACCTGACCTACAATCCCCCGAGCCTCCAAGAACTGGCTGGACGCACAATTAAAACCCGCAATGTTCCCTATGCTCCCAGCGATCTCCCAGAGAATCTTGTCCGGTACCTGAGCTTGGCCAGCAACTGCCCCAATCCTAAATGTGGGGGTAAGCTCACCTTTGCAGTTCTGCTTCCTGTTTTTACCTGATAATTTTATTTCCCCTTGACTTGCCATGGCTTTAGTAGGTCAGTGGGGTTAGATATGATGTTGCATCCAAATTCTGTAGAGCTGTATTTCATTGGCTCCAGCTCTCCTGCAACCATATCTTTAAGGAAGCTTGTTCACTGCCATTTCGTAACTTAGGAATACTGTTTAAAGTTGCAGTGCTGATTTGTTATGTTTGCATGGGGATAAAGACAGTGCTTTTTGTCAGAATTCTCATGGCTTATCTCAGCACTCCATAATGCTGGTATGTCCTGAAGTTTCTAAGCAGTCTGCCCTGAAATAACTCAGACTGGTTAAAGGACAGGAGAACTTTTGCAAACTTGTATATTTGGACTGCTGGACAGTAGGTTCAGTCTCTGGTTGGAAAAAAGGAGGCTGTAGTGCTTGCCAGTTACCAGGATAAACTTATTTAGCTTTTGCTTGGGACAGGTAATTTACAGCACCTGTATGCAGAGGACTTTATACATAAGCCTGGAATGCTTGGGCTTGATTTGACTTAACGCTTAATTTTCATCCAGACTAAATGATCTGTGCGTTCTGTCTGTAAAAGATTAACTCCTCCCCCAAAAAGGTATTCCTTAATTGCTCTCTAATCTGCAGTCATAATTTAGTCCATATCCTATGTCCTTATAGGACAATAGGACAATATCAAAGCAGCTCTGTTAGCAAAGAGGGGAGGACTGGAATTTGCGTTGGAAAGGAAAAAGGGGTGTGGGGTTTTTTTTTGTTTGTTTCTCTCTCTCCAGGTTTTTTGAGTTTTTCACAGCATGGGTAACTGTGGATGGATTTTGTTTTTGTTTTTGTTTTTTTTTCCACTTTATTTCTTATGAACTAGCACAGCACTTCAGTGTTGCTGTAATACTGCAGAAGAAAAGCTTGCTCCAAACCAGCTAGGATTTAAACACTGTTGGAAACTTCTGAAAATGTCAGTGTCTAAAATCACTTCATGTGACAGGAGAGGAATGTAGTTGTGTGTCAGAGCAGCACTGTTGCTGTGGAAAGCATCGCCTAAACTCAGCATGGTGACCTCACTTAAGCAGAAGAGAAGTGGAGCCATGAAGGAGAAAGGGTTTATTTGCAGACTCATCTTTGCTGGCTAGTGGAAGAGGCTTTGCAAACTTGAAAGTAGGGGGGGTGAATTCATTCAGTGTTTAAGGAGAAGTTTGCAAATTCCCAGCCTGAGATTTCCCTTTATATTTGGAAGAAATTGCCTCTTTCTTTAGAACTGCTGTCCTGGGTCTTTTGATGTAGAACTTGCCTTTCTGAATCATCTACCCGTTATACTTTTACAGGAATTTTTTTTTTTAGTCTACCAAGGAAAGAGATTTCACACTTGCAGTTTCCTTATGTGTCCTGGTACCTCCTTTCTCCAGTGTCCCTTCTGCTTCCATGTCCAGTGTTGCATCAGTTAAATGCTAGTTTGAGGCATTTGCACCAGGCACAACAACCTTGCAGAGCTTAACAGATTTCTTGGCCTGCTGTCTCATGTGTTGTCACTGTGACCTCTGCCCTTACAGGTGTCTACTTTGACAGCTGCGTCAGACAAATCAAGTTTGTTGACTTCTGTGGGAAGTATCGTCTCCCGCTGATGCACTACCTGTGTTCCCCTGAGTGCTCCTCTCCCTGCAGCTCTGCCTCCCAGAGCTCCACTTCCCAGAGCGAGTCCGACTCTGAGGATGAAGCCAGCGTTGCTGCGCGCAGGATGCAGAAAGTCCTCCTGGGATAAAAAGGACTGAGTGGGAAAGACTGGAAGGAAAACATACTAGAAAAACAATAATGGAAGTGCAAAGCATGAGCCTCTGGCCTGAGGAGCTCATGAGAAACTGTCCTCAAGTCCACATAAGGGGATGTAAGAACATCTTAGCAAGGCTAGACTTGCTTGGTGCAAGGCTACTTAGGAGAACTAACTCAGTGGCGTAGTGCCTGTAGGGTGCCTGGGGTTGTAAGAAATGTCTGCTGTCTGTGAGATCCCTCTTGTACACAGTGGGGAGGGGGATTTGTTCTGATGGGCAGATTTTAAAGGGGTTTTGATATATGACACTTCACTGGACTTTAGTCATCCTGCAGAGCAAGGGAGACTGTCCAGGGCTTATAACACTATGGTAAATCAGAAACAGGTTAATGATGCTGTGTGGGTATGTGTGGACCCCAATGTTTTGTACAGTGTTTTGATTCTTTTCTGGCTCCTTTGATTTTTGGTTACAGATTTTTACACCTAGCCACCAAAAATGTTTGTTGTTGTTTGGGGAGTTTTTTTGGTCAGGAGTAGATTTTCCCAAACTCTAGGTTTTTTTCTTTGCCTAGAGGCATAGGGTCTTTATGCTTTTGTACAAGTGAGTTGCCTGTTTTCTTCCTTGTTATACCAAGCTGCTCTTAGTGTTTCCTCCTAACTTAAATCCATTTTTCCTCTGCCTGCCCCTTCCTATTAAACCTGGAGTGTTGCTATCTTTATATGGCCTCAAGACAACAGGCAAGTTGTTCTATCTAGACTTGGGATTAGTTCAGATCTGTGGTCATATGTGCCTGTGCTAAGGACCAGATGCAATGCTCTGTAGCATGCTTTTGACCTCTCAGCTTACTGGAGCAAATCTGCTCTTAAATATGTGACTTGCAGGAAGGGTCTTAGGACTGACCTTTCCGGTTTTTAAACAACTGTGTCCCTCACTGTGGCTAGCTCTGCTATGCTTGGTACAGTGTTACTTTCTATCTTTAAGTTATCTGCTTAAAGTAGGCAGCAGCTTAGTGAGTTAAAAGTACAGGAAGAAGCGCTGTGGAGAATGTTATTGTTTTTCTTTCTTATTCCTAACATGAGAGGAAAAGCTGGTAGGAGGAATATAAAGCACGTTTTCTGAGCATCTTGCACATAAGTTGGTTTTGAAGCTTTGTGCTTATTTATCTGTTTGCATTTACTCTTGTTCTAGAAGCTTAGGCAGTCTGTTGAATTGTTCAAGTCACACATGCAGTCGTCTTAAACTATGTTTAAAGGAAAACTGCAGAAAATAGCCCAGAACTTAAAGTATTAAGAAATAGCTTTTAAAAATTAAAACTATGAAATTGGCAGGTATTTGTAAATCTACTTATGGCGCTGGTGTATGTTTTGCTCAGTCAGAGCTGCCCCTTTATTGATATTTCACAGCAGGCAGCCCTTTTGATGCAGTTTGAGATACGACAAATCCAACTGTGCGTTTGAATGTGTGAGCGCAGCGAATACTTTTAGAGGTAAGAAGCTAAATAAACTAGCACATTTTTTTTAATCCACTTTAGGCGGAAGGGGGAAATAAATACCTGGATACCTCTTCTGCATTAAGAAAACACAGGTAGCTATTTGAATATCTTATGGCAGCTCTGTGTTAATGGTTCTTTTAATTATGTTTGACACTTTATTAAAGCACTTTGGTAATTTTACTCTTTGTAACTAGCTTTAGTGATTTTTTTTTTTTAATTGCAATTTTTCTTTTAATGTGACCTGAAGAACAAGGTCTGTGAAATTCTATAAGTGCCAGTCTGTCTTGGTGGGTAGGTTGAACTTCTTGCCTTGAAGTTCGTTGACAGTATGGCTTAGTTCCTCGGTTTCCTTTGTAGAGAACACTTTGAAAGAAATAATTGAGTTGTAAAATAGCACCCCTTCGGTTATTAATCATTGCAACATAGACTCTAAAGAGTCCCCCTGTGCACATACACATGCCTAAGGAACTAAATTGCACATGCTCTGTGCCTTTTTTTAATGTGTGTATTTAAATCACAATAAGGTATATGTTCAAAGCAACTGGATGTCTCTTTAGCAGATTCTGTGAGGTTTGCTTGGGAAGAGGAACCTAAAAACTTTGAGAGAAACCAACTGCATGCTGTTAGTTAGACTGGGAACAGTGGCTTATGTTTTCTCCTTCATGTTCTCCTTCAGGTGCTTCTTGCTGTCCCGAGTGACTGTTGTCATACCAATGCTAGATGACAGTAAACTGATTGCAGAGCCACAATTTCAGATTTACTGCCAGTATAATTGTAGTGAGCAGATGAATGATTTAGAGCTTGACTCTTTTGCCAGTGAATGTGAGCCACACAAGTTGAGATCTCAAGATCTTTTGAGCTCAGGGCCATGAGGTACTGTCTGCCTGTTTTCTCTTGAGGAGCAGCTTTCTCCAGTGATGTACTTTTCACTTCAGAAAATTAGATTTCACAACCACTTTGCTGCCACAAATCCTGTTTGCACAGTAGCACCTCTGGGTGATGGGTTAAGACTAACGGCTTCCATACTGGTGACTGGTTCTAATTTAGCTCCTCCCTTAGCTGCATTTTCTTTCCCAACCAAACTAGTGTCCAATTTCTGGCCCAATTCTACTAGGGTTAATAGTGATTTCTCTTCATTGCTTTTTCTCTGTAACCAGGTCAAAACTTGGCAGCTCATGCAGTGGATATCTCTATGCATTTCTTTGAAATCTTTTTAGATTTTATCACAAAGTATCTTATTTCTTAAAAAATGTGTATATATTCCTGAATACAGCTAATTTTTTTTTTTCTTTTTGCCGGTGGGCTTTAAAGTGCAATTCAAGTAAGTCAGGGTTTAAAACAATCAAGGACTTGTAAGAAATAGAAATGGTTGTTTTTCTTGTTCTTCAGAGGTAGGTTTGAGAGGGCTTAAGATGAGGTCTGTACTGCAGTGCTGAACATACTGAGCCCTAAGGAGTCTTGTTTTTCAGCACTTGTTAGCCCCCAGACAGACAAAATTTGAAAATATGAGGAGGATGGTAGGAACTAGTTTCTGTTGTCCCCTTCTTCCTGCAGAGGCCCCGAGAAGTAGATGGTGGGTTTGCCAGCGTTACAGCTCTTTTGCCAATTTTAAATAGTGGATTTCCATTCGTACAGATGCATCTCCATTGGTGAAGTCTTCAGTCAGTGAGTGTTTTGGTATCGGTCCCCTTGTTGCTACAGCAGCCCCGCGTGTCCAGCTTTTGAAAATGTTCTTAAGTTGAGACGCAAATGTGTGAAGCGAAGTTGCTCATTCCATCTTTCCCGTGGCGTCCAGGACCCTGCCTACATTGTTCCTCTGTCCCTCCATCTCTTTGCCAAGAAAAGCTGATGGGGTGTTTCTGAATGCAGGTACTTAATGCGAATAGTGGGATCACATTAAAAAGAAGCAAAATACCAATTTGACTGGAAGCAATTTATATAGTTGCCAATTCTTTCATGTTTCTTTAATAAGAGGTGAGACTTGAGGAAGGTGGTAATGAATATTTAAACATACTCTGAAGTGGCCAGATTCAGTTTTTCATGGGCTTCTGTCCTGGTCACTTCAAGCCTTGGAAATCTTGTGTTGAATTATAATGGGAGTAGGGGGGAGGGAGGGGAGTAGCAGCTCCTTTTTGTTACTTACTCTTTTTGGCAATAATGAATGGAAGGAATTTAATCCAATGAAAGTAATGAAACTTAATCCCTGCAATGTCTTTGTTACCCAGTTCAAAGAACCATTTTAATGCATCTTATTCACACCAGGCAGATGAATTCCCTCTCCCCCTCTTTGTAGAGTCTCAAGATACTTCAAATAGACTTCTTCAGGATGCACACTAATACAGCAGTAACTCTATCTTGGAAGCCTTTCTATTGATTATTTCATTTGCCTGCCTGACTAGAGGATTGATCTTTTACTGACCTGAGCATTAAGGGTAGAAAGGGTTCTCATCTAGTCCTCTGGGGAATTTTATCATGAGCATTTGTTTTATGAAGTCTTAGAGTGCCTTATGTTTTTAAAAGTATATTTTGCTGGAAATGTATAAATATAGAATATCTGTAACAGTATTTCTTAATGAGCTGTAAAACAAATTGTAACACTAAACCAAAAATGTTATTTCTACAATTGTCTCTGTCTGTTATTTGACAACATCTCTAGTCTTGTTTTGCTGCAGGCAGAACACTTGCAGAATTGTGAACATTAAAAATGGGGCTATACGTGGTCTCGGAACAGATTAGATATGATTCAGGCTTTGGAAAGCCAAGAACAGGTGAGCCTTCCAAAGGGACTGCTGAAACTCTTGGCTTCTGAGACCCATTTATAACAGACCAGAAAACATTACAGAGAGGAAACTGTTTTACTTCTGGAACGCTGTTGCAGAAATTTGCTCCACAATTTAAATATAAAAGTAATTAGTCGGTAAGATAAAAACAAGAAAAGTGAAGGCAGTGTCACCTTATAGAGATTTCTAGCAACCTGAAACAACAGTTCTGAGGTTCTTGAATTGTTTCACTCATCTTAAGGGGCTAACTTTGAAGTCTATAAATGACTTGTTAAATGTTCGTGTTCTGATTGCCTTAACTGGCTAATGTGTTCTCATTTCATGTGAAATCCCATGTTTCCTCCTTCATCTCAGAGTTTTTGTGATTTATTGCCAAAATGTTTTGATTCCTGCAGTGCAATTACCAGTTATCAGTGCAGAAGTGTGGCATATTGGAAAATGGGATAATGTAAAACAAACATTTATTGATATCAACTTCAGCAGGAACTTCTTCACAAAGATGGTTCAACTTCATATGTAATGATAAACCTCTCAAATTGTTCAGCCGCTCCATTTCAAATAGCTTAAAAGGCTGTCCTTTAAAGTCCAGTAACCTTGACTGTAACAGCCAGGCTGGGAATATCCTTGCATCTTTTGTATGTAATATAAAGATTTTCTGAACCTTCTTAATACCTTTCCTGTATTGGGAAACACGGAATCAAAGTGTTGGCCAGAAGGAACCTCTGGAGTCCTACCTCCCCCTTTAAGCAGGATTGTTTCCAGCGCTAGTCCAGGTCACTGTGGGTTTCTCTAGCTGTATCTTGAAAACCTCCAAGGATGGAGAGTCCATAGTCTTCCTGGGCACCTGCTCTGGTGCTGAAATGCCTTTCTAATGCAGAAGTCTTTCCAGTGTCCAACATCTTCCTGTCGCTACTTGCCTGCCTTCTAATTTAAAGGAATGAACCTAAGCTATGAAACTTGCATCTATGTTTTTAGCACTAATGCAATGAGAAGTGCATAAATGAAATATGAATTATGTAGATGCCTGAAACAGATGCTCAGAATGCCAAATTGGTGTTTTTAGGCTCATACAGAATTGCATAGATCTGAAAGAGGACGTTATGTTGCCACTCTGGAAATATTCTTCATAGACTCATGCGTTTGCTACTCAGATGCCATAGACTGTCATAGGTGTCCCAGGTAGCTAGACAGTTGCATGTATGTACCTTTTCCTCTGCACTGAGCTAGTGGTTTGCAGTGTTAACCATTTGAAAATTTTATTAGAAGGAAGTTAGTCCTGATGCTGCCCCAGGGCTGCACTGAAGAAGGCCAGGGCTGTCTGTAACCCTTAGTTGCAGTCTGGATATGGTTTGCCACGTCTGAATGTCTCTTCCCTGTTCAACAGCCCTTGTTCGAGAGTGACTCTTCAGAGAAGATTTGACTAAGAGTGCTCTTGTACAACAGCTTGCTGTGGTCTCCTCTCTCGCTAGGCAGTGAAATGGAGAGTTCTGTCGAGGAAGGGAGCTTAGCAGGGTCTAACAGCAGCCAAGGTCCTTTTAGGACGCAGAGAAAGGTGATCCAGGGCAGAGTCTTTGGGTCCTTCTTTCGGCTTTGTTTTTATGGCAGGGGTGAAGGTTCAACTCTTCTGATTTCACTTCACTGACTGGTGCTAGTCACCATGGGGAGGTTGTGTATGGATCCCTTTGCCATTCTTTGTCTTGCCCTCAGACTCCACTGGTGGCAGCCTGAGGCTTGCTGTCACGGTAGCAAAGGACTGACGCTATCTTCAGAGTGCTGTTCAAATGCCATGTCTGTAACCCCTGCTTTGAGTCTGTGCAAAAAGCAGCTTAAATCAGTACTGACTAGCAATTTGTAAGTTTATCCTAGGTGTTGTACTTTGGTCAAAGGGCGTCAGAGCTGATTTGCAATGGAGAGTAACTGGCGTCAGAAGAGGATGGAGATCTGTAAAGCACAGCTTCTGAAATGCTATTGGGATTTGTGGCCTTGGGCTGCAATGTTGCCATTACTTGTTCCCGCACATGCGCTTTGGGATTTCAGAGTCCCATGGGTAGGAGACCTTAGTTTGCTACCTTTGTGGTCACGTTTGGTGAGGAGCAAGTGCACTCCCTTGAGTTCTGGGAGGAGGGTGTGCTGGCTCCTGCCTTGCACAGGGCTCTCAGGGATGTGCTATGTAAATGACCAGAACAAGTCTCCAAAAATCCACCTGAGTAGGCTGCAAAGCAGTGCTGCCATTGAATGACACCTTGATTAAGAAGCCAGTTCCTGTTTACTTCTCTGGTTGGGGTTCACACATACTTTGGAGCTGTGTGATGACTCTGCTGCGCGCTGCTCTCCAGCAAGGTTGGCTGGCTGAGGGCAGCCTTCTGCTAACTAGCTGCTCCTGAACATGCAAAGCACTGATAACAGTTTCTTCTGAATGCTGGCGAGCAGCTAACCCTGCTTACGCTAGTATTCCCTCTGGTTCCTACAGTGCATTACCAAGCATAGTGATGCCCTTATTGTCAAAGTGTGTGGAGAAGTAGAAGAAACTAGACAGCTTGCCAATCAGTGCTAGGAAGGAGCCTTTCTCTCTAGGGGGGGGGTTAAATGTGTTCAAATTGTTATGTACTGGTGGCTGGTAGTGTGATACGGCTTGTCCTGCTTTGGTTCCTGTGGCTCAGGCCCTTGCTGGCGTCATCACAAGCAAAAAAATTACCATGGCTCAGCTGTGCTGCGGTAGCTGTCTTGCACGTATGACCTTAGCCTGTTGCAAATGCAAAGTAAAGCCGATGCCTGCTTTGCTAGCACATTTGGCTACTGTTCTCCATCTCAAAGGAGCTTGAAAAACATGAAGAGAAATCAAGAACTGTAAAGGAAGTAAATTGAACTCAGCAAGATGGAAAAGTATTTAAATAAGCAGTATAATGCTCTTGCTTTTCCTTTAAGTCTCTGGGGAAAAACACCTCTATACTGAAAACATGGCTTGGCTCATGGATCTGGTCCCCACTGCTCCTTCAGTGACTCCTCTATGTTGCATATTTGCAAAGCATATGGCACTGGGTTTCTCCTCTGCTCCCCGGGAGGCAGTGCCTGGGAGCAGTTTTCTACCTGACTCCCTGCTTCAGGAAGGATGCTCAGGTACTTCAAGGAAGCAGAGACAAAACAGGACATGGAGGGATTTCCAAAGGTTCAGAGCTTCCTGCTTGGCAAGGACAGAGCAGGCTGCTGGCTGCGCCGGGGTAAACGCAGGAGATGTTCTGTGCTGGTGGAATGCTAACAGGAGAAGGTGGCTGGTGCTAGGCCAAAAGAGCCCGGGACAACATTTATTTGAAAGGCATAAACCTTGTTCTTAATGTCACTTCCCCTTTGTCAGTTGACAGTCACTATGGATGTGTGCTGGTTATTGCTGCTCGCATCTGGCTTCACATCTTCATGTTTCCAATAAATCTACTAGTGGCCTTTGGAGGGAGAGTAGAGCTCTTCCGTGGGAGCTGTTAACTGGTTGCTCTTTCTCTAGCCAAATCCAGGTAGGTTACAGTGGCCAGTGCCGTCCTTTCCCAGAGGCCTTGCAGATATGGCCCCCTCCAGCTACGGCCTTTGGTTTCTTCTCTACCCACGTGGGAAGGTCTTCTGGACAGTGATGTGGTGGTGAGTCCTAGTGCCGAGTCTTTTCCTTTGGCAAGCACAGAAAGCTATTTCTTGGCTGATCTGGGGTTTGGCCCTAGTATGGGATATAACTGTGACCCAAGCCAGGTCACTGGATGGGGAGGCCACCCCCTGCTGTAACTGGAAGCCGTCCTGAAAGACTGCAAGCAAGCCAGTGCTAATGTTAAATGCCAAAGAGGCAGGAGCGAAAAAACTCATGACTTGTGTTTCTCCATTGAAATCTCCTCACGATCACTCGGAGCCCCTGAGAACCCAGCATCCCTGGCTCGGCCAATGCAGAGAAAAAGGCTCGGGTTATTTTAGTTTTCAGCTGGGACCACGAGGAGGCTGTTGAAATCCTGCATGGGGTATGCAGGGAGCTTGTCTCTGCCTGAGAGGTGATTTTTCTGTATGTCAGAAAGGAGAAATCAACGAACAAAGTCCCTCAGCCCCTCAGGACTGGGAGGGATCCTAAGAAACTTTCACCAATTGTTTTCCTCAAGTTATGGATCTGTCACGCCCTTTGATTGAAGGCACTTGCAGGTGTTGGAAGACCACTGCTAGTAGGTTGGCTGCAGGAATGATTTCACCAAGCCATATTGTTGTTTGCATAAGGGAACGTGACAGAGCTGGCATGTTACAATGTCCTGCCTGTGCTGTGACACAGACGCTGGGGAACTGGTAAGTTAGGAAGGAGAATGGACCCTTCCTCTGGATGATGACTTGGCCGGGTCACAAGCCAGAGCCCAGCAGGTCAACACGTTGCCCTTTATAGCAACAGGCAGATGGCAGTGTGTGCACTGCTGGTGGAAGGACCTGTACAAAAAGCTCGGGATTGTTCTGTGTGGGTTGTCCCTACGAGTAAATCTCAGCCCTAGAGCTCTGAAAATGGGTAGGAGAGGAAAATGCTGTTTTCTAGAATATGCTTTTCCACAATTCTTGTGGGGCCTGGCGTCCGCAGTAAAAGTGACTTTATAACGAACACGTATAACGTTGAGCAAATGTCGTTCCTTGTGCCAGACAACGTTGTTAGTTGCTGTCCAAAGACATGCTTTATAAATGCTGTTTTAATAACCCTGAGGAGGGCTGCCCCATTGTTCCTCAGGAATAAAAATGCATATGGTTTTTGAGGGTTTAACGGACTCTGCTTGTGAGAGGGATGATGTTGAACAAGTCTTTACCAAGCTGGCAGATCACAGGGGTAGGAGGAGTGTGGACTCAGAACTGAACATGAAGAGTAAAGGGCCTAACGTTTCCCTAAACTATAGAGCTCTGCTTCAAACGTGCCAGGTATTTTTCAGAG